AAATGACCTCTGCATACATTATATTAAAATGAGCAGGTAACATCCATTAACAATATAGAATAACAATAGACTCTAGCAGCTGCAGAGAATCTGGCCACTTATCTCTGACCCCAGAATCATGGTCTGAGAAAACAAAGGCTGTATACGAATCCTCAGATCAGCCTGGCATTTTTTGAAGAATATAAGTAATAAGATCTCTTCTGAGATCACGATAAAAAGGGCAGTACAATATTTAATGCCCAGCAATTTCAGCTTCCCCATCTTCACAGGGGCAAGTGAATTCCTGAAGCAGAACTCAAGAGGATCTCCCCTCCAAAAGTGCCAAAGGTAGAATATTAAATTGGGCCAAAGTAAAAGGTTTTCTGAATTTGGAGATTACTTGATTGGCCAAATAATTAGAGCACACAAACTTCTTGTACCTAAAGAAATGGTATTTTGTGACCAAACAAGTGATTTTATAATTCGATATTCCATATCCTCTGCTTAAATAATGATTTGGCTTTTGAGTATCCAAGACCTATTAAACTACTGAGGGAATACCCAAAGTCATTAATTTTTCTGAAATGATCCTTCTCCATTTGGGCTGAAAGGTGTCTGTTGATGTTGAAGGAGCAAGTCCCACAGGGAAGAAGACAATCTTTATCCCAAAAGCATAATGAAAAGGGGGGGCAGGCATAAGTGGAGGTAGTGAGGTGGAACAGTCAGGAGCAGGCTAGGCTAGCATTGTAGTGAAGTTTGCACAGTGAGTCCACTTCAGTCAGCTTAAGCCACATGGAAAGGAGGCAGCACAAAAGAAGCAGTGATATAGCAGCTCTCCCTCCATGCTGTGTTCAGCTCTAGCACTGGTAAATACGAATGAAGGGGGAAGTGATCCAAGAACTTGCTCTCAGCTCTATACTGTTTGCCCTTGCCTCAACTTAAAAGCAGCGATCCACATTTGCTTTGCTCTCTCTTCCTCCTTCAGATAACTATCATGCTGCACTCCACCTTCCTGAACTTATACATAACAGCATGGAGGCACCATGTGCTAGGAGAGTCCTAATCATGTGCCAAAGAACAAGCAAGCTCACTGAGCAGCCAGGATTGCCACATCATAATTCAATACAAATTGAGACATACAGGTTAGAATCATACAGCTTCGAATGCAACCTAATCCCAAGATTCTTACCCTGCCCTCTTCTGCACATAGTGTCCCCCTTTTACACACACACCCATTACAACTGGTTGAGATTGGTTAAAGAGAGCCACTTAGCGTCCCAAGGGCACCCAATGACCTTCATGTCTAAGCAGAAATATGTTGCCCCAGCCCTAGTCCAATCCACACCCTATTGCTTCATGATCTAGGTGACTAGCTTGGTTTATGGACTAACACATTACAGTGGATGGAAGGCAGTGCAAATTCTGACTCCGCCACAAGCTTTGACTGGCATTTTCACAGCACAGTTGAAAAGTTAACAACTGCAACACATTTTATATACTGAAAAGTGAGCTCTAGGCTGCTAAATCGGTCCCCTGGCAAAACTTCACAAGAAAAATGGCTAAACGGGCAAAACATTCACCAGAAAGCCACAGATTGTCAAGAGTTAATTACCTATTGTTCAGTCAGATCAAACTATTAACTAGCAAATCTCAAGAAGACTCACTGGACTTCCTGATCTGGAAGCGGTAGTAGCGGAAACTAGGCTATAAAGTAAAATATTTGCTGGTGAGAAAACCAACCACCCACCACTAAAGACCACAGGGATTTCATGAAAAATTTTAAAAACTAACAAAATCCAACAAAAGTGTCTACCACACAACATCTTGCTACCATTAGAAAGACACCAGTGTAGCAAAATATCAGTTTTTAATTTTTAATCCCATATTTCAATGCAAAAAGATGCACTTCCCCAGGTGTCTAATTTTGTCTTGCTACTCAAGTTCCTGAATAATTTGTTGTTGACAAAGTGTAACTAATTTGAAGGAAAGCAAAATGGGACATAAATATGAAATTATACCCTAATGACAGGGGCTGGGCAGGAAGTGTATGCATTTCTTAACAGTTTCTTTCATTTCCTTAATTTACACTTGCTCTGGTAATGTAGTTCCTACTTCTTTGACAGAGTTACCTAATCAGAGTTACCTAATCAGTTTTAGATCTGAAACTTTTTCTTTTACATTAGCACAAAAGCATCCTATTGGAAATGCTTGTTGCTCAGCACTCAGACCAGAGTGCCCTTACTGTCTACAGTAAGGAAGAAGTGCCTTGAAATTATCAGGCAGAGAAACGTTAATGAACTAAGAAAGAGTGCTTCCCACCCCTTCTTCTTCTGGAAGCATAACTACAAATGTAACTCACATTTTTCTGGACAGACTGGCAGGTAAAAATAAACAGTAACCTGATAATTAAGACTGCCTTAGATTATCAACATTTGGAAACATCTGCCATGATAATGGAGTAATCGGACAGAACACATTTATTTTTGTTAATGCAGGACAAGTCATCATAATATACCACACCAGATAATTATGAAAAAAAATTCCGTGAAACTAATCTGTCCCCAAAGACACTCTTTAGTAACTGCCCCAGTTACTGCCTACTTCTGCATCATCCCAAATGCATTCAGATGTGCGCAAGATATTTTCAGTTTCTGGTTTACAATGGCTTTTTTTTTTTTTAATGACCTGGCCTCTTACAAAGGAAGCTTCATTTAAAGGTTATTGCTCTACATTTTTCCTCATACAGAAGATACATTGCAGATAGCCATCAGCAGTGACAACAATCCCTTCAGATCATCCTTGGTATGCTATTCCCACTAAAATGCTAAATCCCAGGAAAACAAAATTGTACAGCTTCTTACCTGCAGCTCCTTTGAGACTCTCTCTAAGTGGTTAGTTATCTTTTTAATTAGGTCACTATACATCTGTTCCGAATGCTGCTGGCACACACATTTATACACACAACTGCAGAAATAAATACAGGAATAATGATGAATTCACAACAGTTTGTAGCATAGGAGGAAAAACAAGAATTAAGCCAGCAGAAATCTGACTTCAAAAATATTAATTGGCAATTTCAGCAACATTCATTCTAAACACAAACCTCATTGTAAACAGATACTGAGACAGTAGGTCTGTATTCCCCATAGAAAAACTTGCATACTTCAAAAAAGTTAAGGCCGATGTGGTCTTACTAAACCAGTAACTCTGCAAAACTTTTAAGAGATCAGTGACCACAGAGGCACTGTTTCACTGGCTTATAAAGTGAATAATGTTTAATAACTATAACTACAGTCATCCAATGCTTCACACCATCTTGAAAAGGAATTTTGTTTTTCTGAACACACCCAACATTCATGTTCTCACTACACTACTCTAGATTGTTCAGCCTAAGAACACTGAATTTATCACAGTAACTGCTCACCAAGGCCTTAGTAAATTTTATGAAGTTACACTACCTTGCAGCTATCAGTTTTCCCCAGCATGGTAGCCACAAGCCCAGAACCAAAAGTAAGTACTATTAGAGATATTATTGCAGTGCTGTCGAGTTAACTTCATTAATTAAGGAAGGGGAGCAGAATCAACTAGATGAGTCCTGTCTTGTGGGATAACTCAGTGCTCTTCAATATTTCTAAGAGGCTGTAGAGTAAGATCATCCAAAGTTTTCGGGCTGGGTGTCATCAGTATGCAGATGACACCCAGCTATACATTTTACTCCAGGTGTGTCCATCCTTGCTCCGAACCAGCACTTTGAGTCCATAGTTACTGTTGAAGGCAGAATAAGAGGAATCCAGACAAGACAGAGGTAATGCTGGTTGGAAAGGCTGATGGTTTGGGAGGGCTTGGATCCACTAGTAGTGGATGGAATGGAGTTGACCTTTGCAGAGCAGGTCAAGAGCTTGATACTCAGGTTGGCTGGGGTACCTTCTACCTACTGCATCTGGATTACCAGTTCTCTCTCATTCCTAGACATGCTAATCCATGCTTTTTGACATCACTGTGGGACTACCATAAAATACTCTAGCTTGGGCTGACCTAGAAAAAAACTGAAATTACAGTTGGTTTAGAATGTGGTGGCCTGATAATTGCTAGGGACTGTTTGTCAGAAATACACCTTGCCCATTTCAAATAGCTTCACACTGCCAGTTTATTTCCAAAATCACTTCAAGATGCTGTTTATGATTTTTGAAGCCCTTCACAGCCCAGGAACCCCATATCTGAAGGACCACCTCTCACCGTACATATGTCCCTGTGTGCTGGCTACAATATCCAGTTTATTTCTTTTGTTTGTTCCATCATTAAAGGTGGTCCAACTAGCACTGACAAGTATTTATGGCCTTTCTGTGGTCGTTCCCACTTTATGGGATGGGCTCCCGGGGAGAGGGGGAGCACCATTCTTGGAAACTTTGGTGATGGTGGGAACCCTGTCTTTAGGCCCTTTTAGGAGGTGCTGTAAGGCTGTTTTATACACCAGACCTTTTAAGGAAATGTAAGTTGTAGACATTTCATTAGGCTGGGGAGGAATGTGGGGTTTTACTATCATTGGATAACTATATGTTATTAGTTACCTTGAGCCCAGAGAAAGGCAGGATATAATTTTTAAAAAATAAATGAATGATTTTTAATAGTCACTTGCCACCTCCCCCATTTTGTGCTTACTATTAATATATTTAATGATCAGCACAGACATTTGCACTGCTGATGTCTGGTTTGTGGATGCCCTCCTATATTCCCATTCCACACAAATACGCAAACTGAAGAAGGCAAATGTTTAAAGGCACTCTAAGGGCATATCCAGACCAGCACTCTTGTCCCCATTTTCCAGGACCTAATCTTTACATGCTTCCTACATCTCTCTAAGGAGATACAAGGCTTTGCCCAAAACCAAAAACTAGAATAGGAATGCAAACATGAATAAAACACAGAATGCAGTGTGGACCATATTCCTTTCTGGACAAATATCAGTAGACGGTATGTCTCCACACAAGCCTATAAACACTCCAAGATTGCCATCAACTAAATTCAAGATGGTTAAAAATTGAAAGAAAAGTATAAAACTGATTGTCTTCAGCTAGAATGTATTACAAATCATAGCAATTTGATCAGGTTCAAGAGATAATAAGGCATAGGCAAACTGAGTATAAACTTTTAATAAGATCTAGAATAATCATTTTGCCAAATATTTCAGCATTTTAAATCCATTTCAGAAACAAAACACTATCTGCCAACCTCCCCCTTAAACACCTATATGCAAGAATTATACTTGACCAAATTACAATAAATGCAGTGCTTACATTTAATCAGAAACTAATGACAAAATCATTTTTTTAAACTTAACCTTACCCAACGTATTTATTTACACAACCTGTTATTTACACAACCTGTTCTTCAAAAACAGGCCATTGGACATTTAAGTAAGAAATTCAAAAAGCGAAGTAACACTGTTAGTACCCGAGGCCAAGCAGTTAGTTTAAAAACTAACTTTATTGTTGTTCAGTTTGATTTTCTGGATAGCACTAGTATCTGGTGGCTTTGAATCATCTCTCAGCATCTTCTACTTCATGAAGTGGTCACAAAGTGCCATGGGAAGCATTTTAAAACACTTTGCACCTATAGCAACTACCAGAAGATGTGTAACCTGCTAACCACAGCAGATTTTCATCCCTACTTAATAAGGCGCAAAGCATCTAGGAACAGAAGTAGTAACATGAATTGTACTCTTCTGTTCATGCACATGGGATCCCCAGGAGAACAGTATTGTTTCCCAACCAACTAGATGAAGGTTTAATATAGAAGATACTAAGCCTCCACCCCCAATGCCACAGTATGTGTTCACATAAATACTGTATTTTGTATTAGATTCAAAGGGACTAAGAACCTAGCTAGTCAATTCTTCCTTAAAAGAGCATCTATCCAGCAAGACCCACATAAATGCTCCTCCTACATTCTCATTCCATTCAAATGGTACTTGGCCACTTCCCCCAACACTTTTTATTTACAGATTGTCAAACTATATTTTTATGCAGTTACCAAGCTTCACTGATCTAAGCAAATGAAATAAAGTTTAAAGTACACTCCTTGAAAAACTATGAAGCACCACGAGAACCATTTATTTTAACATTTATAGATGATCAGTCACCCTGACAATATATCTGTAGAATTCTTCCATCTCAGCAACACTTATCAAATGCATCAGCATTTGTAGCACATCTGTATTAACTAGACTTTTCAAATAAGGTAAAATTTGCTTCTATTTCAATAACAGATTATTCCAGTTGTAAATTAAATCTCAGCTTCCTCAGTTCTACCTAACATATAAAGAGACACATAAGAAAAGAGACGCAACATCTGCTGGTGATTCCAGGTCCCAAGGAAGCAAGGCTTGCTGTGACTAGGGCCAAGGCCTTTTTGGTGGCGGCTCCTACCTGGCGGAATGAGATCAGGGCCCTGCAGGACCTTGCACAGTTCCGCAGGGCCTGCAAGGCAGAGCTCTTCCATCAGGCTTTTGAGTAAGAGCCGCCACTACCACCACCAACAACGAGTTTGGAAACAGCGGGGTATGGGAGTAACCCTGTGACGATTGAACTGCAGCACTATGGCGTGTGGATACCACTGAGTGGAGATCTGACTGAATATCCTCTGTCATCTGCGACCATCTTGAAGCACTTTACTTTGTAATATTGGAACTGTGTTTTTATCTTGTTTTTATGTATCTGGGATGCATGCCCTGATGTGAGCCGTCCTGAGCCCACTTGCGGGGAGGGCGGCCTAGAAATCGAATGATAAATAAAAAAATAAAAATAAATAAAACTGAAAGGGACTCCAACAGCCGAATAACTCTAGCCTTCTCACTACTCTATGGGAGAATCACTGCAAGCAACAGCAAGTGCTCCTACTTACAACAGAAGGCTGGATTATTCATGTATTAATGCTGGAGACATACCAGCAGATAGACAAAAAAGGTTCTGCAAATAGGTCACATTATTAACATGGAGGTTTTGAGCACATACCATGAAAGCAACTGTGCCCATTTCATCACTCTCCACTGGGAAGCTGCCCAATGGAAGTTTAGGGGAGGGGAGGAATCTAGAATTAATAAATTACATGAAATTAACAGTATATAAATCAGACTTTTAAAATGACAGCTTCTTAGGGAGTCTGGTTTAAAATATTAGAAATGCCACAAATACAGCCTCCGTGACTAGCCAGTACACATCCATTCCATTTTGCAGAGTTACTTTTGGTCATGGTGTTGGATGGGAAGAAAACTTTCCCTCAACTATGGCTTCACTAAAGAAAATAGCAAACCTTGGAATACTTTGTTTGGTTGATGCTCCATGACTGTCTCCAAAAGTGGTCTGATCATATACAAAGCATGCTGTCTATGATACGACAGAGGTTAGTTCTTGCTGAAAGCCCTTTTTTCTGTAAATGCATACTACAAGACTAAAATAAGACTGTCGAGAGTTTACTTGGAGTCAGTTGCCCTTACTACCAGGTACATGAAGGAGTTTAAAAATTCCCAGGTATCTGGCTACTCAAGCACTATGATCCAATGCCAGAATTCATATCAGTGCCTAAGAATACTGCAAATGGAAGGCTAAATACAGTCATCCATAACAGAACTATTCAAAGGTTTTCTCACCTGTATATTTGCTCATAGGAGATGGGGATGTAGTCACCAGGACTCTGAGTTAAAAGTTGATCTATGGCACTATCCAACTTTGGCCAATATGTGCTCTTATAATCTTCTATTGTTATAACATTCATTACTACAAGAGAAAAGAAACAATGTTTTATTGCACTGAGAACCCAATGAAAGGAAGTACTGACACACAACAGTAAAATGCAGATACAGCTTCAACCATACACTTAAAGATGTCGAAAGTGTTGGCAAGCTGTTTCCTGATCTAAGTAAAATGTTTATATATTTTGCTACAGTGAAGTTTCAGACAACTGGTGTGATATAGTGGTTCTCTAACTGTCAGACTAGGATCTAGGAAAGCCAGGTTAGAATTCCCCACTCTGCCATGGAAGCTTGCTGAGTGACCTTGGACCAGTCACATACTCTCAGCCTCATCTAGCTCATAGCGATGTTGCGAAGATAAAATGGAGGAGAAAATGATGTAAGTCGTGCTAGAAAAAAAGTGGGGTATAAATGAAGTAAATACATACAATTATGAAAAGTTTTAGAGATTTCAACAGCAGACAGGCCCCTTGATCATAGACCACAGTTTCAATTTTGCTTGTAAATGAAGTGTTAACTGAAAATCTTAAAAAAAGTACTTCTGCTAAAAAAAAAAATTAAGCATGCACTTATGTATTAGACAGTATCAGTACCTAGACCAATGTAATTGTATCTTCAAACCACTTAATAAGTATTTTTAATGAAGTCTGATATCTGTTGTAACAGGTAATCCAAAGAGCAGCCAACTTTGAATGTATAGTGTCTAGATCTTGTCACTCTCTCAACACACATACCCCTCATATTAATCTTTACCTTTCCTATTACAGAGCAATGCACTAAGCTCTGAGAAGCCAAACTGGTAACTTGCTTCTTCCTCTTCCCTAGACATAAAAGTTCCTTTGTCAAACGTATGCAAGTTTTTATCATGTGCATGCAGATCCAAGAGCCAGGCTCAGAAACACTCTGCCGGTTTCTAGTGGAAAACACTGAAAAGCACTTGGATCTGCCCCTTATTGTTCTGCTCTCCCCATACAAGCAGGGGATGCAACTTGTCTCTTGTCCTGTAAGAGGTCCAGCATAACCATCAAGACAATACCATTAAATGGCTTCAAATGCAATTAACAAACACCAAGATCAGAAGATATGTGTCAGAGAACACAAGGTCAAAACCTCGTGGGTACCCAGGGCAGTTGCACACAAGTAACAGACTGTTTACTATTTTTAAAAAAGTTTATATTACAAAGTGTATTGTAAATTCAATCAATTAAGAAAGTTCATTTAATAGCCAGTAGGCTGCAGTGGCTCAAGTGGTTAAGACGCTGAACTGCAGACTGGAAGGTCAGTAGTTCAGCAGTTCGAAACCCAAGTGCCGCAAGACAGAGTGAGCTCCCATCTCTAGTCCCAGCTCCTGCCAACCTAGCAGTTCCAAAGCAAGGAATTGCAAGTAGATAAATAGGTACCGCTTCAGTGGGAAGGTAACAGCGTTCCGTACACCTTGGCATCTAGTCATGCTGGCCACATGACCACGGAAATGCCTCTGGACAGCGCTGGCCTTCGGCTTGGAAACGGAGATGAGCACCACATCCCTAGAGTTGGATCTGACTGGCTTTCGAGCAAGGGAAACCTTTACCTTTACCTATGTTACTCTAAAATCTTACAGCAAGAAAACAAGACAGACGAACTCAACTGCCAAACACAGGGGTATCGAACTCATCTGTTAGAAGGGCCGGTTTGGACATAAATATCACTTTATTGGGACAGGTCATGTGTGCCATAAAATATAATACTAGGTACTGGAGATATTTTACCACAGACTGTGACCCACACCCCTCCTTATCACCTAATTAACTACTCTTTGCTTGATATGCACAAAAAGTTTTGCACAGCACTGAGAATGACTGCCTGACAATCAAGGTGCAACAACTAGAGACTCTCATAGCTCTTTAAAGACTAACACATTTCAGAAGCTTTTGGTGAGCTGGAGCATGAAGGGCTGCATTCCACTGCCACAGGTGCAGCAGCCAAAGACAGGAGGCCAAGTGGCATCGAACAGAAGAACCCAACAAACCCTGTCTTAAAGAAACTGATACAGTCAACAGGCTTTGGGGAGGGAAGGGGGTTGAGGCAGCCGCATGATCCCACACCTCCCTCTGTCAAAGTCCTAAACTCAGCAATAAACCTGAGCCACAAGGGGCACTGCAACACTCCCAAGCACCACGGGCTTCAAGGGCTGCAACTTTCCAATGATGCCAGCTCTACTTTAATTGCCCTTTGCAGACTTTTATTTTGTGCAATCTTCAAGGGCTGCAACTTTCCAATGATGACTTTTATTTCCTGTCAGCTCACAGGCTGGATAAGTGCCCTTGACAGGCCGGTTCCAGCCCCCAGGCCACATGTTTGACATATCTGGTCTAACACTTTCAGAGCATGTATTAGATGGCACAAACCTTAAACTCCAAAGTCACAGAAATTCTCTATGCTGTTCCCAACTGTGATTCAGGCAGAACATAGTTTAGGTCTTCAGTCCATTAGGGTTTCAGCTAGTCAAACCTTCCTTCGGACCTTGGCTGAATTATAGTTTTTGGCCAAGCAACATCAGGTGAGGATGACATCCCATTAAGGACACTCTCCAAAGAAGCCTCTAGAAGATTACCTTATCACCCCTGGCCCTCCTCCCCACATCATATGGGCAACAGGTTCTCATGAGAAGCTCATCACGCCACCTCCATCTCCGGCCTTGAAGACGATAACAACTGTACAGGCTGAGAGACCAATTAGTAACACCTGCAGGATGAACTAGGCCCGAGGAGGCCAGGGGAGCTTTGCCTCACAATATGCATGACCAATTGTACTTAAAGCAGCAGAGAAAACTTAACACTAGCTAAAGACTTTATGGAAGAGCAAAAGGTGATCACTAACAAGATCTATCGATCTAATCAAATGGGCTCTAGTCCACAGACGTCTCATGGGAGCCTAAAGACAGATTCATTGTGGCATAGGCTTTCTTGGATTACAGCTCATTTCATTGAACATGAAGCACGTCTCCGATGGCAGATTTAACTCTCTTTCACACAAGAATAGAGGAAAAAATAAATACTTGAGGCAATAAAATGGAAGAGGTCTATATATCTATCACACATTGCAGCTAGCCAGCTGCAAAATCCAAGCCCATCACAAGACTACCCATCAAAATATCATTTTAAAACTAAACAGGTTACATGCTGTATTAACAGAGGAGTGGAAGGAAGTATTTTACTCTAGTGGGAAAACACATCCCCCCCCAAACCCACAGAAAATATAATCAACTCCCCCAAACCACCCCCTTAAAATTAAAAGAGCAATGGATGGAAGGTGGTGACCAAAAAGGGGTTGGGAGGGGTGAAAAAGTCAAGAATTAAGAGGGACTCCCCTCATTTCAGAATCTCACTGCTTGAAGGAAAGAAAATATTTTTTGGTGGGGACAGAACACTGGATTCTCCAACAGAAAGGAAGAAAATGTCTTGGACAATGAGTCAAATTGGGGATGGAGGAGAAAAAAAAACAATGATCCAGAAGAAAAACAAAGTAAAATATGAACTAGAAAAGTGAGAAGCAAACATCAGGAGAGGCAAGAAATTTTAGGGGCTGAGATCCACCCTTCTCCTCTCTGCATGTTCAAGAGGACTGGAAGACCGATGACGGGGGAAAGGTCCTCATTTTCCAGCACAGAAAAAGGAAGAAATTAAAGGTAAGCTGAAGTGACCTAAATAAGGGCAGGGGAAAAGAGACAGTTCTCTTGTCATCCCATCCCCTTGTTAGGATAGAGAGATTGGCAGAGTCCCATTTCATGTATAGTCTCCAATTTTTCTCTTTATTAACCCCACCCAGTGGCTGTCTCCAGATTATCAGACAAAGAGGCTCACCCCCTCCTGACTCACCAGGGTAACAAAACTTAATTGCCACTGACCAGTGTGCATTAGTGGAATGCTGAAGAATAGTTTAGAACTATATAGTTAGGATCGTACAGAAGTACTACATTATCACCTATAGATGCTACAAGAGGGGGACCCGCGATATTCGCGGGGGGGGAGAAGAGCTCCGTCTCCTCCATCCCCCCTGCTCGATCTCCCCTAGTCGGCGGCGGCGGCGAGGCCTGTCCTCCCTCCCGCCCGGCTCCGAGGCGGCGGCGGCGTTGGAGGCGAGTCCGGTGCCCCCCCGCCCGGCTCTGACCC